TGTTGCAACTATCCGGCAACAAAAATCACACTGAAAGTATCCATTGCCACATATAGTTTGTGATGAGGCGTGGCTGCACAAATGAATTATATGTGTAAGTGTTTATTATTTTGTACTTTGTGCCGTAAGTGTAGATGTAACGATAAATTTTTCTGGATAAATGCAACTTATTGTAATATACTGTAGTGTACACTCATATGTGACCAAAGGATTTACAGGTGCTGAGAACTGTGACCCAGAGTTGAGAAGGTTGGGTGAGACTGTATTAGACTCTTGTGTTCCTTAAAGCATAGTTATGACCATCTCCAATAAATACAATATTAGTAGTGAAGGGAACAGAGAAACACCAGATAACAACTCACAGCCGACGGAGATTCGAACCCAGGACACATTGAGGGAACCACGAGATTAAAACATTTGTTGAGTATATATCAATCGGTCTAGTTAGTAGTTAAGTCTCTCTGTTTATTTATTTGTCCCTTAAAGTTCACAAAATTAACAATGAACAAGTGAAGGTTACCTGTCATCAATGTAGATCACCTGTACTCTGGTAATCTGTTCTTCAGCCCAGGTAGATGAAGTAATATTTTCTTCTTAATTTATTTTATTTATTCTTATCTATCATGATCAACATTACGACGAAATTGGATTATTAATTTAAACTTGTTGATTATATTTTTATGGATTATATCTTTATAATTCGTGTTATCAGCCCTGAAGACATAAAACCTAGATATCTATAACAAATTAAACGTTTCCTATTACGTTATATCACGGTATATACTGTTATTCGTTACATGATGAGGTTATGAATTTGTTTCATTTTATTATTTTAACAGAGGAAATTAAGGCAGGTACAGGTGTGGTGTCCGACTGTGTATCTTGTGTGTGGTCAGCGGGGTGTCGAGGTGAGGCAGGTGACCAGTGAGCTGTGTTACGGCGTGTGATAGGATTATGGCATCGTGTGTGTGTGTGTGTGTGTGTGTGTGTGTGTGTGTGTGTGAGAGAGAGAGAGAGAGAGAGAGAGATAAAATACGTGTAGATGGGGGTTGCCACATAGGCCCATTACTCAGTATTTGTGTCGCTACGCCTTGATGGTTTCACCTCTAACTGCTACTGCGTCCTCTCCCCTTTACCCTCCCCCTTCCCCTTTTTTCCCTTCCGCCCTCTCACCCTTTCCCCTCTCTTTTCACATGTCAACTCTTCTTACCTCTCTCTCTCTCCTCTTCCCCTCACGTCATACTCTGCGACACAACAAAAACGCCAAATTTTATTGATTAAAAAAAAGGGATTATCTTTTCTCTTCCTCTTCTCTATGTCACCTTTTAATTTATTTTTCCCCTTTCTCCTTTCTTTACTCTCCTCTTTTCCCCTTACTTTGAGTCCCTAGAATACCCCTCTGCCACCTCTTCATAATCCTTACCTCCCCCTCTCTCACCTCCCTCTCCCCTTCACACGTCTCTCTCTCTCCCATTTCCTACTCCCTCCTCCCCCTCCACTCTCCTCACTTTAATGTTCCGACAAAACAAAAGATCCAAAATATCGCCAAAATTGTACCGAGATCCTTCTGACGTCATATGGTGATCCTTCTGACGTCATATGGTAATCCTTCTGACGTCATATGGTGATCCTTCTGAAGTCATTGTGTGATCCTTCTGACGTCATATATGGTGATCCTTCTAGTCATTAGTGATCCTGACGTTCAAGTTAAGGAACGAGTACGTATGTGTGACTTATGGTTTCCTGAGTCAAAATGCGTTGGCTGGAGTCCATCTTTACTTTGCTCACTACAACCACCGGGAAAAAATCCTCCCCCTCCACCGTTAATATGTTGGAAATCCCCGGGATTACTGTCCTGTTATAGAGGCTCTCCATGGGAATTGCTCTCCAGTATAAGGAGGATTCCAGTTGTGGATTTACTTGCTGTTCCGAGGAGATTTCAAGATGGAGATTACTTCTGGGTCTACGGAAATTTCCAGAAGGGGATTACTCGGCAGCCAACGGAGAAAAATGAAGAGTATTACCCAAGCTCTAGCGATTTTTCTATCGAGTAAACTGGCTGCTTTATGAGACTCCCCGATGATTAGTTACCCAAGACACTCAGATGACCAGAGAGAGAATTACTCTCTGTAGGAGAACACCAACAAGTGATTACTGCTTCACTTATGGAGACCGGGGGGAGATTACTGTGTATTATGGAGACCGGGAGGAGATTACTGTGTATTATGGAGACCGGGAGGAGATTACTGTGTATTATGGAGACCGGGAGGAGATTACTGTGTATTATGGAGACCGGGAGGAGATTACTGTGTATTATGGAGACCGGGAGGAGATTACTGTGTATTATGGAGACTTGAGGAGGAGATTACTGTACAGTACTATGTATCATGGAGACGTCTAAACGCAGATTAATCCCTGGAGTATGGAAAAATCCATACGAGGATTACCGAACCAGCTACAAATATCCCCACGAGGTAATATTAACCCACCCCCCCACAAAAAAAAATCCCCACCCACAAAAAAAAATCCCCACCCACAATCTTTCTCCCTGACGACATCGGGTTTCCCTCACATCTTTCCCCGGCATATATTTCCCCATGTTATATCTCCACGCTCCGATTATCATAAGAGACAGATTAGAGGCAGAAAAAAAAAACCCTCCTTGAAATGGGGGAAATATTTCCTCTTTTTTTCTTCCCTACGATAATAAGATCGGTGAGTCCTTCTCCTCCTGGGTGGTATTGAAGAACGAGGCGGGGAAGTTTGAATGGAGGTTCGATGATATTGTTATGTGTATTGGTTTGTGAAAAAGAATATTATATAGGGAAGAAACAAAAATATATTCTTATAGATGTCTTAGGGGAAAAAGCAACCATAGATAATGAAGGGATAGGGATATTGTGTCAGCTGAGTATAATAGAAACATGTCTATAAGGCTCAACTCAGTATACTTCAGGACTTATGGATTCACATAAGTTAAAATGATAAATAATGTTCGTAAGTGAAGATACAAGAAGCTGTTTGGTGAGGAGATGTTTGGTTTTAACTCCAGGTAACCAGCCAGCCAGCCAGCCAGCCAGCCAGCCAGTCAGCCAGCCAGCCAACAGATGTTTTCATAAATCATAACTTACGAAAATCATTTATGAATCCAGACACAGGTGTTTACAAAAGGACAGGTAAACCTTAACACCTCAAATCTTACGATAATAAACAAATAAAAAAAAAGAGAGAGAGAAATTTTGTAACAACGCGAAGAAAAATAATAAGAAAAATATATATCTATTCCACTTATTCTATTCTAAAAAAAAAATAAATAAATAGAAAATATCACAGTTCACAAACATAAAGAAAAAGCGTGTAATGTGTACTTTAAATTCTTTACAGCTGCAGAGGGAACAAATATTAAACAGTAATTAACAGCGTCAATAATGTTTATTTCTGTGAGGTGACAAAAACACGGACGGCAGGTACGAAAGAAGGGTCTGACTGCAAGCTAAGAGGACAGTAGTGGGGTGAGGGTGGGGGAAGGGAAGGGTGAGGATGGGGGAAGGGAGGGTGAGGTGGGGGAAGGGAGGGGTGAGGGTGGGGAAGGAAGGGAGGATGGGGGGAAGGAGGGGTGAGGGTGGGGGAAGGGGAGGGGTGGGAGGGTGGGGGGGAGGGTGGAGGGAAGGGAAGGAGGGTGGGGAAGGAAGGAGGGGTAGTGGGGAAGGAGGGTGAGGATGGGGGGAAGGGAGGGGTGAGGATGGGGGAAGGGAAGGGTGAGGGTGGGGGGAAGGGAGGGGTGAGGGTGGGAGATGGGAGGGAGGAAGTAAGGGGATTATTATAATAATGAGGAGGGAAAGGATGGGAGGAGGAGATAGGGGAAGGGGAGAAAAGGGATGGGAAGGAAGAGAATGGAAGATGGGAGGAAGAGAATGACCGAGGAGAGGGATAGGGAGGAAGAGGTTAAGAAGGAGAGATATGGAAGGGAAAGAAAATCCCCCAAATATTAAATAATCCGTAAAATATTGAAATGTGAAGTGTAGGAATATATTACATAATTCAGCCAATATATATACATTTAATAATATGATCCCGTGTCGACCAGAAGCTCTCATGCAACGTTGATTAAAGATAAGTTGCAATTAAAGAAAACAAAATATATACATCGTTTTAAAGCTGTTTCCTCGGTGCTATCATTCAGCTTAAAATTTTTGGTCCTCATTTCCCTCACTAACCTGACTGATGTATGTATTTTTTGAGCTAATGAGACGTTTCTGTGGGTTTTTTTTTCTTTAGTGAGGAGTTTTTGGTGACTCTCTCTCTCTCTCTCTCTCTCTCTCTCTAAAGCGACCAGATAAGTGCAGGCAGCGTCGTGTTAGGTGATGTGCTATCATGTTCAACTCCGATATTGATATAATTATGTTAATGCAATAACCAAGTCTTATGCAAATTACATTACATTAGTGCAGGATTATAATATTAAGGCTGCATCAAGTATACCACTAAACTTCCCCCTTATTCCAGGTTTGTGTTGTGGCGCTATAACGTTATCCAAGTCTCAGTTGGCCCTTATTGTCAAGATTAATTTCTATCTCTGACTGTAATTTCTATCTCTCGCTGGTAAGGTTAATTTCTATCTCTCACTGTAATTTCTATCTCTCGTTGGTAAGGTTAATTTCTATCTCTCACCGTAATTTATATCTCCTCGTTGGTACAACTAATTTCTATCTCTCTCAATCGCAATTTCCTATTTCTTGTTGGTAAGGTTAATTTCTATCTCTCACTGTAATTTCTATCTCTCGTTGGTAAGGTTAATTTCTATCTCTCTCTTCTTTGTCTTTTCCACAATCTCTCACTCATTCTCTTCATCTAATCTCTCTGCTGTCTCTACTCTTGCCCTCAGCCCCCTCTTCTTCAAGCCAAACCTGAAAATATCAAAGTAAGTGAGGGTCGTGTCCCCTACAGTAGGTGGTGACCGCCTGAGAGGAACCTGGGGGTGCTGGTAGGCTTGTACAATCATGGCCACCTTTAGCGCCGTCTACAGAAGTCTTCAGGAGTTGGTTCTTCCCCTCGGGCTAAGCCTTCCCACCCCTATAGTTTTGAAAGGTAACTTCTCGATTTTTTTTTTTTGCTATTGTTGTTGTTTGTTGTTGTTGTTGTTGTTGTTGCTGTTGTTGTTGTTGTTGTTGTTGTTGTTGTTGTTGTTGTTGTTGTTAGTTGTTGTGAGGGATAAACGACACAACTTTCTTATAGGAGGTTGAGGAGTCGCCTTAGACCGTTTGGTGACCGTCTTTTGAATCATGTTATTAATTACCTCCGTGTGTGTGTGTGTGTGTGTGTGTGTGTGTGTGTGTGTGTGTGTGCAGAGCTTTGGATAACTTAAGGTATGATTACTTTTCCTCAATTACACGTCACACAAAACTCACTTCAGAGTCATATAAAGACATTTAGTCACTCGTGTTTAAAGTTCCTGATATAACTCCTGTTTAATTTTACTAAACTAAAAATACCACCACTTAATTACCATAAACATAATAATCTTATATACATCAACATTTAACGAGCAATAACTAGTCATATGGACAATTTTCCCCCTAGTTAGTGACCTTCAACCTTTTGGTTATGTTATCTCTGTGTGCTGAATAAACATCAAATTCTTTTAATTCCTACAAGTGTATTTTATTTTATACAATAATCCACTTATACACCACTTATAGTCTCTGAACAAACACATAACTTGTATTTCATAACTAACAACACTTGCAACACTCAGTACTCCCACACGTTCCTAGTATGTGATAAAGTCTTCATTTTACAACCATATGGTGACCGTACCTCCATAGTGAACGACCAGGACCAAGGTATAAAGCTTCTCACCAGACTAACACTCGGCTGTTCTTGGACTGGACGAGAGAGATGTCAAGGAGAAAGAGAATTAAGAGATAAAATAAGGAGGAATAGGAGGAGGAGAAAGAGACACGATAAGGAGGAGGAGGAGGAGGAGGAGGAGAAGAAAGAGAGACACGATAAGGAGGAGGAGGAGGAGGAGGAGGAGAAAGAGAAACACAATAAGGAGGAAGAGGAGGAGAAACAGTTAAATAGGGATGGGGGGAAGAGAAACAGATAAATAGGGAGGAGGAGGAGAAACAGACAAATAGGGAAGGGGCTGAGGAGGGGGAGAAACAAATAAATAGGAAGGAGGAGGAGAAACAGGTGATCAGTAAGCCAGAAGGGGGGAGGGGAGGGACCTCCTTAGCTTGGGAATGACTCTTTATGTGAATGAAAATGTGAGTCCGGTAACCATCACTGAGGGTTGTAACGCCTTTGTCGGGGGGAGGGAGGAAGAGAGGGAGAGAGGGAGAGAGGGAAGGAGGACGAGGGTGTTGTTGGGGAAAGAGGGAGATAAATTGGAAAAGTGAGGGTGTGTGAAGGAGGGGGGGAAGGGAGAGTGTGGTAGGGTGACGGTAGGGAAAGTTGACGTCAGGGAGGGAGAGACTAATGAGGGAGGGAGGAAAAGGCGTTTAAGGGAGTTGGTTGTACGAGGTCGAATGGGGAAATTTAGCTGCGAGTGTTAATGAGTTTTTCGTATGAGAGAGAGAGAGAGAGAGAGAGAGAGAGAGAGAGAGAGAGAGAGAGAGAGAGAGAGAGAGAGGAGAGAGAGAGAGAGAGAGAGAGAGAGAGAGAGAGAGACTACCCAAATAATTCCTGTAAGGATAATAGGTGAAGGAAGGAGATCTGGACGGTCCTCTGGGAAACTCCGGACTCTCAGACTAAAGACAGACCTAGAAAAGAGTTTGGAGTAAAACCTTAATGGAAGTATTGAGGAAGTTAAACACTGGGAATTTTGGCCAGCTGCTTTTGAATGTCGGGACGAATTTGAAGTATCGAGAGAGAGAGAGAGAGAGAGAGAGAGAGAGAGAGAGAGAGAGAGAGAGAGAGAGAGAGAGAGAGAGAGAGAGAGAGAGAGAGAGAGAGAGAGAGAGAGAGAGAGAGAGAGAGAGAGAGAGAGAGAGAGAGAGGGGGTGAAGGGGGGTAGACACTCACAGTAGGTATTTTAGCCAGGTGTCGTTCGTGTCTGATACCTTACCTCCTGAAGACCACATATAAGACGACCCGATTTAACCTAGAGAGTAAAAAAAAAAAAAAAACCACCCAACTAAATCTCGAATAGAATAATAAATTGAAGATTCATTTACCTTCATCTCCTCCTCGACGCTCTGTTCCCCTCCTTTCCTCTGCTTCTTGGATCCCCATCAGGTAAGTCTCTCCTGCAGAAGGAAATAACTCGTTTATTTAACCAAGAACAAACAGTGAAATTTGATCTAATTACATTAAGTTGTACACCAGTTCATGTAGCTAATCCTGGTCTGAGTTTTGTGTGGTTCTTCAGGGAAATATACAGTGTGGTGAGGATAGTGCACTGAGGATAGTGTAGTGAGGATAGTGTACTGAGGATAGTGTAGTGAGGATAGTATAATGAAGATAGTGTGGTGAGGATAGTATAGTGAGGATAGTGTGGTGAGGATAGTATAGTGAGGATAGTGTGGTGAGGATAGTGTATGAGGATAGTGATGGTGAGGATAGTATAGTGAGGATAGTATAGTGAGGATAGTGTGGTGAGGATAGTATAGTGAGGATAGTGTAGTGAGGATAGTGATGGTGAGGATAGTATAGTGAGGATAGTATAGTGAGGATAGTGTAGTGCGGATAAAAGCAGGTGGCAGTGAGGAGAAACTAGACGCCTCAGACAATCAACCACACCAGTACAAACATTTCCAAGGACCTGTTGTTATTTTTTCCCTCTTCCTACCTTTGTAAATTTGCAATTCTAGTGAGTTAACCTCTTGCTCTTACAGAAAACGGAGTGTACACCAGGGGAGGGGGAAGGAGAGGGGAAGAGGGAGAGGAGGGAGGGGAGGGGGGGGGAGGGGGGTGATGGGTGAGGGGAGGTGGGGGAGAGGGAGGAGAGGGGTAGAGGGAGGGGAACTACTTCGTTACGGTGATGTGTTTGCCGCCTCAGATTGCAGTGTGATTTTTTGGAAAGGGATGGGGGGAGGGTGGGTGTTGAAGTGCATAGGGATATATTAAAAAGATTTATAAAAAAAGAAAGAAAGAAAAATGACAATTAAATAAAGGTGTGTTGGGTCTAGTAAATTGTGGCATTGGTTAGGTTAGGTTAGGTTAGGTTAGGTCTCTGTAGATATCCAATTATACAACTCTCCAACTTTTTTCGTCATGATACTAGCTGGCCTGAATCAAGAGCGAACACACACACACACACACACACACACACACACACACACACACACACACACACCTACTTGACTTTTATCTCAAAATAATAATAATAATAATAATAATAATAATAATAATAATAATACAAATAATAATAATAATAATAATAATAATAATAACAACAATAACAATAACAATAATAATAATAATAATAATAATAATAATAATAATAATAATAATAATAATAATAATAATCATAATAATAATCATAATAATAATAATAATAATAATAATAATAATAATAATAATAATAATAATAATAATAATAATAATAATAATAATAATAATAATAAAACCTTCATCGGAAAATAAAAAAATAAAAAATAAAATAAAAATCACCTCACACTAAATCTAAAAAAATAAAATAAAATAAAATGAAACAAACTATGCATCAAGAAGCGCCTTTCGTCAGTCACACTCAGAGTGAAGTGAGAGTCTCTTACAGTGAGGTCAAGTGCCATTGTGTGCCGCGGTGGGTCCTGCCAGAGTGATCACGAGAGCGGAACGAAGCTCCCTAGTCCTGGACCACAGATGGGCTCACGGCTCAAGTGGGGCGGCCATGAAAAACATCTCGGTAAGTCGGTAGGTGAGCGTTCGACTAGGTTAGGATGGGTTAGGTTAGGTTAGGTTAGGTTAGGTTAGGTTAGGTTGGCTAAATTAGGTTAGGAAGGTAAGGTGATGCACTCACTACCAAAAAGGTATACCCACTCAGGTGTCAACAAAGACATACCTGCGTGTTAATATATTCCCAGGTATATTCCGCTGTACCTGAGTCTCACTGACGACTGATTGCTTAATTGAACGACGAGAGCGAGGATTAGATGCCTCCAATTACCTTCATCATGTTGCAGTGTTTTCGTCCGAGTGAATCACAGTTTAATTACAGTGAAATGAAGGTGACGAGGAGGAAGAGATATGCCTTTAGTGACGAATAGGGTGACGAGAGGTGAGGAGTGAGGACAGAGAGAAAGTAGTGTTTTTTTTTAGGGTGAGAAGTGAGGGAAGAGAAGATACAGGCTACACCACTATTACAGTACCTAGTGGTCAGTGTACCTGTAACGTCACCACTACACTACACACCTACACTAACCTGGCGGCAACTTTAGTCAAGGGATCCTGTTGCAAAAATACAAAAATAAATAACCTTTATAATACGTTAGAGAATCGTAATTAGTCTACTGTAACAAGTTGAAGCAATACCATTACAGCAGCACCATCAATCTGCTGTAACACACACACTGTAGCGACACTTTTACAACAGGTTACAGCAGCACCATCAGTCTGCTGTAACACACACACACACACTGTAGCAGGACTTTTACAGCAGGTTACAGCAGCACCATCAGTCTGCTGTAACACACACACTGTAGCAGGACTTTTACAGCGGGTTACAGCAGCACCACCAGTTTGTTGTAACACACACACACACACACACACACACACACACACACACACACACACACACTGTAGCAGGACTTTTACAGCAGGTTACAGCACCACCACTGTAAAACTGCTCACTCACACTTGGTTTATGATCCTGGGCGGCACGTTGTTTGCTTCTCGTTACCAGCTTAGAGCTCGTGACTTCAGTAAACTAAAAGTGATGAATAAATTAAAATACTTTCAAAAGAATGCATGAAAAATAACAGCTTGTTCAAACGGTAGCTAGTGCATATTTGAATATACGTTTTACTTTTGCCCAAAGCTGATTTCACGTTTGTTACAACTATTTTAAACAGGAAATGTCGAATTTGTCTCTTGCGATTTGTTTTGCGAGGAAAAAGGCACAAGCGAGTCATAGCATTAATTTTATTTACTAAATTTGAAAGTTAAATGAACGGTGATGCGATTTTCTATTCAGCTGTGACTAGTTTACTCTCTATTGTGGAGGTGACACACTTAATACTGAGACTTATCCTGAGGTACATCATCACCTGGGTGGCGTCAAAGAACAAATCTTAATAATATTGAAACACTTTACCAAGGAGGAGACACTCAAACTATAGGACAGAGACTTGTTGCTATTTTCTCATAACAGCTGATAAATACCTGAAACTTAATTAGCTAATGTATCACCAATCACCAGTTCCAGTGATTGTAAACACATAAACCCTTTATATCAACGTCCTATGATAATAATAATAATAATAATATGTATAATAACAACAACACAACACTACTAATACTAATAACAAACCACAATAACAACAATAATAATAACAATAACAACTAAAATAATAATAATAATAATAATAATAATAATAATAATAATAATAATAATAATAATAATCACAATAATTATAATATTAACAACAACTACAACTACAATAATAATAATAATAATAATAATAATAATAATAATAATAATAATAATAATAATAATAATAATAATAGTAGTAATAATATTAATAATAATAATAATAATAATAATAATAACAACAACAACTACAACAACCTCCCTCAACACCTACCATACTCATCATTAACACGGGTCTACCTGTCACCTGTCATCATTACCGTCATTTGCCAGTTCTCACGTCAACCAAATGTGATTTAACCAACATGAAATTGCCATTACATTAATGAAGTAATTGAACATGCAATTCCACTCTCATCTATTTCATTAAACAATTTACCAGCGGTGACAGGCAAGTGTTTTAGATGTTGAAACTCTTGTGGGTGTAACAAATGTACACCTTTATGTATACCCGATGTACACCTGTGTTATGTATGTACATAGAGGCGCGCCATGAGTACATACAGTAATGTACATATATGAAGTTATGGATCTGGTCGTATGAGTATTAGTAACTAACAGTGATAGTGAATATATGTGAAAAAGAAGTTTATTTTTTTAGTGTCGTGTCGTGTCGTGTCGTGTCGTGTCGTGTCGTGTCGTGTCGTGTCGTGTTGTGTCGTGTCGTGTCGTGTCGTGTCGTGTTGTGTCGTGTTGTGTCGTGTCGTGTCGTGTTGTGTTGTGTTGTGTCGTTGTGGTTGTGTTGTGTTGTTATGTTAGCAATTCCCATTAGTTCGATCCCCACGATCAACCGGGACTCGGGTACTATATGAAAACCCGGATTCGCCTCTAACATAGGGATGATGTGTGTGTGTGTGTGTGTGTGTGTGTGTGTGTGTTAAGTGATGTACGTTGAAAAATTTCATCTGTTTATAACTCACTTCGGTGCCTCTAACCTAACCTGACCTGACCTGACCTGACCTAACCTAACTTAACCTGACCTGCACGTCATCCTCACAGTCTGCAGGAATTATACATTGGCCAGAAAGAAACATTGAATAGATGACTCGACTTAGTATGCAGAGTGAATTAATAATGAGGGAGAAAAAGGTTTCACTTTATATTATTGTGTGTGTGTGTGTGTGTGTGTGTGTGTGTGTGTGTGTGTGTGTGTGTGTGTGTGTGCAGACAGACAGACAGACAGACAAAAATAAAGAGACAGAGAAATAGATTGTAATATTGCTCATCAAGCTGTACTTGGATGGAAGAGCCACCCACCTGGTAAGCTTGGGTCAAAGAATACAGTAAGCTTAGGGCATACAGTGTAGTGAGCTTGGGAACAGACAGTATAGTAAGCTTGAGAACAGACAGTATAGTAAGCTTGGAAGCAGACAGTATATAGTAAGCTTGGGAACAGACAGTATAGTAAGCTTGAGAACAGACAGTGTAGTGAGCTTGGGGCAGTGTAGTGAGAGGTTTGTATACACAGCTCATCTTACACACGTCACCTGCACACCACATCATCAAAGTAAGGCCTCAAGGTAATGTTATTGTTATTGATATTATCCTCAAGGCTTCGTTCCCTCCCACTGACTTGGTCTGATGGCGTGGGGTTTTTTTTTTGATCCTTCGCCCAGTTCAGCAATATTCTTAGTATTAAATTAAGGATTATCGTTTTAAGTTGGGGGGGCAAGTGGGGGTGTTGTGTGTGTGGGGGGGGAGGTTGTGTGGGGTGTTGTGTGTGTGGGGGGAGTAAGTGTGGGGGAGGTTGTGTGTGTGGGGGGAGGTGTGTGTGTGGGGGGAGGTGTGGGGGGAGGGCAGGGGGAGGTTGTGTGTGTGTGGGGGAGTGTGTATGGGGAGGCAGGTATGTGGGGAGTAAGCAGTGTGGGGGAGTGGTGTGTGTATAGGGGAGTTGTGTATGGGGAGGGTGTGTGTGTGTGTGTGTGTGTGTGTGTGTGTGTGTGTGTGTGTGTGTCTGTGTGTGTTTTAGTTTTCAGTGATTTTTTTTCATTCCCTGAGTCTCTTTAGATCAGTCTGTCTGTCTGTCTCTGTCTACCAAACTGCCCAATTTCACTCTTCCCATGTCTGTCAACCTCTTTCTATATCTACCTGTCTTTCCTCTCGCGGATCGATAGCTATTCTAAGTATTCAAATGTCTGATCTAAGAACCATTAATGAACCAACATCTGTAATTACCTGGACATGATGCTACATACCTGAGGAAATTGGCTTTGTTATGGTAATGTGTTGTTGTGGGAGAGGAGAGAGTACACACACACACACAGAATTATATTATTATTATTATTATTATTATTATTATTATTATTACCTAAAGTACAATACACTCTAAAGGGAAGGTCCATAAACAACAAATCCCTGAATAATAAAACAAGCAAAACGTAGAATAAACCACAAATTAAAAACAAAAATAATATCCAATATCATAAGAACGAAAAACCACAACACTAAAAAAAAAAAAAAAAATTACAACAGTGAGCAAGGAGAAAAAAAATATATAAGAAGTAACAATTTCAATTAAGAGTTATAGTGACCTGATAGCATTACCTTCAGAGGCTTGAGGTTTTCCAATACTCGGGTCGGTTGTAAACAAAAACTATCAGGAGGAGTCATTTATTGCCCTCTGTTGTAAATCTTCCAATTATAACTTGAGGCCCAGGCACTGTTACCACCTACATCCTCTTCCACTCCCTTCCCTACCCAGTCTCCTACAATCCTCTCCCCTCCTCTCCCACCCCCACTGCTCTCTCCCCACTTTCGCCCTCACTCTCGCCTTCTCATCTCCCTTTACCCCTCACCTTTAACCCTACCCTCACCTCCCCATCTTCACCTGTTCCACTCTTCAACCCCCCCCCTTACCTGAAGTTCTCACCCCTTCACCTGCTCTCCCTCACCCCTTCTTATCTACCCTCTTTCATTTCTCCCTCTCCCCCCCCAAGCTTCGATTCTCGGCTCCCTAAATCAAAAACTCTTTTAGGTCTAAAGGCTGTGTGTTTGATCTGAGAACGTCAATGGAATCTGAGTAAGCTTCGAGCAGTACTTAACGAAACTCAGGTGAGTCGTTCCTGCGTACCATAATAAATTAATTTGGGTTTGTACGAGTCAAATGAAAAGTTAATTATCGATTCAGGTAAATGTTTAGAAATCCTGTAGATGGTTGGGTTGTGAGCTTAATGGTGTGTGTGTGTGTGTGTGTGTGTGTGTAAATAAGGAGCATGTTAGAAATTACTAGTGTTGATTGGGAGAGAGAGAGAGAGAGAGAGAGAGTAATCATTAATAATGTGTTTTGGTCTCATTTATCCACGCTTCCCTCAACCCCT